TAGGGATTTGGGGTTTAGGAGTTTAGGGTTTAGGGGTTTCGGGGGTTTAGGTTTAGGGCTTAGGGCTTTGGGTTTAGGGCTTTGGGTTTAGGGCTTAGGGTTTAGGGTTTAGGGTATAGGGTTGATCAGGGATGCCCTGAGGCTCCACGTGTTTCTATAGTGTATGCAACGGCCTTATCGTACTTGTATAGGAACCCCCATTACGGCCGAAGTACCCTAAACCCCAAAACCCAAAACCCCAAACCCCAAACCCTAAACCCTAAACCCTAAACCCTAAACCCCAAACCCTTTTTGAAAGGCCCTCAAAAGAACCCAAACCCTAAACCCTAAGCCCATATGTACCCAAGGCTAGGGAAGCCTGTGAAGTTGAGGTCCTTCGACTAAAGGAGATGAGTCCCCTCAAGTCGAAGGGTAATGTAGAGGCCTTAAGAATAACAACAATAATAATACCGTCATAGTAATAATGATAAGAATAACAATAATAGTAACAATAATACTGACAATAATGATTGTTAGAATAGGGCTTTGCGGGTTCCGTATTATAACACCAGAATCACCACCATGATAATCATCAGCATCGTCATCCTCTTCGTCGTCTCATCATCATCAGCATCATCCTCGTCATAATCATACTGACGATGCCGACACCCCAAAGCCCTAGGCGCAGGATCCTTAGTTTTCTCGAGGCCACTTCACATCCCGAAGGTCTTTTGGATCAAGTTGTGTCCGGTCACAGGCTGCGGAAGCCTCGCGAGTTAGGCATGTGCGAGGCACATGAAACGATTCGTGGTGTGACCTCTGCAGATGCCAAGGAAGACCAAGTTGCGTGTGCAGAGAAGTTGTCACCCGCAGACTGGAGAAAAAAGGCTTATGCCGCAACCATCTGTGCTTTCGTAGCTTCTACCGGCTTCTTCCATGGCTATGACAACGGGGTCGTGAATGACGTTTTTACTATGCCGAGCTTCCGTTCCATGATGGGCTGGCCAGAAGAGGCCTCCTCCCCATTCAGAAAGACACAGCTTTAGGGGTCTCGCGTTTAGGGTTCCTATGCGCATGCCCGCGGAAGTATGTATCACGGATGCATGCCCCTCCCCTTTGGGTGGTGCCCGTGGTGTTTGCAATTGGTTGGGGTAGGCAGGAACACCGCCCTCTCTCCAAGCTAAGGGCCCGTCTGTTGTGTTTGCTCCAGCACACAGAAGCTGTAATCGTAGCTGTCTCGTCGCATGCTGGGTTAGCAGCCCGGAGCCCGAGCTCTTGCATACATGCGTATGCATACGAAAACATAGAAAGGCAAGTGAATAAATACACGAGTAAACGAGTAAGCAACCACACATAAAACAATGATAAACAAATAAACGCACAAATGAATAACACCAAAAAGGTATGTGTAAAGATAGTGTGGATATGGGTTTGTATATGTATACACACATTTTTGTATGTATATCTATCTATCTATCTATCTATCTATTTGTCTACCAATCTATAGATCTATCTATCTGTCCACATCTGTCCATCTGTCTATCTATCTATCTACCTA